TATAGTTACTATCAAACAACTTGCAAAAATAAAACAACTTAACATGCACTATGCCAAAACAGACCTTTAGCAGCGCTTTTTTTGACCTTTAGCAGCGCTTTAAAGCGCTGCCTAAAGTGGCGCTGCTAAAGGTAAAGGCAGCGCTTTTTTTGTGGAAAAAGCGCTGCTAAAGACATCACCTTTAGCATTTTTTACCCCTTTAGCAGCGCTTTTTAAAGCGCTGCCTAATCTCCCCCCCCCCCTCCCCCCCTTTAGCAGCGCTTTATTAAAGCGCTGTCTTAGACCCCCCTATAGCAGCGCTTTATGAAAGCGCTGTCTTAGACCCCTCTTTCCCCACCTATAGCAGCGCTTTTTTAGCAGTTTCTCTGTCCCCTTTAGCAGCGCTTCTACATAAAAGCGCTGTCTAATGTGCACGTTTTGAAAAAAAAAATTTCCTGATTAATGACATTTTTTATATATTTTTCAATAAACCTGCTTATATTACAATACCTGCTTATATAATTTACCCCTTTATTTCAGCACTTTGGCTTTATATACACAATTCAACACTTTGGCATTATGTGCACAATTCAACACTTTGGCATTATATGCACAATTCAACATCACAAATTATATACAATTCCACTTTAATATATATAATTCAAAAGCTTCACAAACATCACAAATTATATACAATTCTCAACTCGAAATTCAACATCACAAATTATACAATTCTACTTTAATTTCTTCCAATCTTTACTGCTGGCCATAATATACCTGTAATTCAGGAAAACTAAAGTATCAAATGAATGACATTCAAATATGTAAATAAGAAATATATATATATACACATAAGAAACGTATAAATAAGAAATAATATGTTATTTTATTGAATGAGACAATATGTAATTTTACAAGTACCTTTAACATCTTTTTCTTTTTTTAGTTCGAAGGTGCTTTACTTGTCTCTTAACAACACGGACGGATGGATTGATCCAAATTCCCTCGCTATGATCATTTCTAATATATGATTCGTCTGCTATAATATTCTCATCTGGATCATCCCTAACATAAGATTCATTCTCAACATCAACCTCCCCCTTTTCTCCAATGTTATCGTTGATTACTTTGTTGGAAAAAAGAACTATAAACAATTTCGTACTTTTCGGATCAGTGACATAGAACACTTGTTTAGCTTGTGTGGCTAGAATAAAAGGCTCATCTTTGTACCCCACCTTATTAAGATCCACTTGCAAAAAACCTGACTTATCCATACGTATGCCACTATTACTTTCAACCCACTTGCATCCAAAGATAGGAATCTGAAACTTCTCATAATCAAACACCCAAATGCGCTCGATTACCCCCAAAATACGAGGAAATGTGCATTGATTCGGCAAGCACAGTGACACCACTATTTTGCATTGTACTTTTATCATCTTGCTCCTTGGTATAAAATGTGTATCCATTAATTGCGTATGCGCTATAAGAAAACACATGCAAAGTTGGACCATATGCTAAACATCTCAACCTTTCTGTTATTGAAGCGGGATCAGAATAAAACTTTGAATAAATATGCTCTTTGAACCATGTTATAAAACTTCGATTGTGCTCACGTACTATCCAATTTTCATTTCTATTCAGATTTAAACCTCGTACTCTTTTGACAATCGATTAACAGACATCCAATTTTTATCCATACTATGAAAGTTAGGCAAAAACAGAGAATACCTGTAAAGAAATCACTAACTTCTAAGAAAGTTGTACAGTAGGATGCTTGGAAACAATCACAACCTTGCTCTTCTCAGGTAACCCCTATAACAGACAATATATACATTTTATTAAAATCATATTAATAATTAACCAAAACAAAAAAACTAGATAATCCAACAAAACAAATCATATTAAAAAAAAGTAGATATACTATAATAAACTATTCTACTATTAAAGCATACTTTCATTAATATGATTTTGAACTATTCTAAACTATTTTATAATGCTCAAAATGACATGGACTAAATTAAAGCATACTCTCATAAATGGTGGAAATGGACTAAATTATTCTATACTATTCTAAACTATTTCATTAATATGATTTTAAACTATTCTAAACTATTAAATCATACTCTCAAAAATGGTGGAAATGGACTAAATTATTCTAAACTATTCTAAACTATTGCATTAATATGATTTTAAACTATTCTAAATTATTAAAGCATACTCTCAAAAATTTTGGTAATGGACTAAATTATTCTAAACTAATTTATAATGCTCAAAATTCATTGTGGCATTTCAACAAACACCTTGCATACAAAACTCAAGCCAATATCAAAAGAGTAATGCTCATCAATGGTATCAACAAAAACAAGTCAATAACTCAGAAAGAAGTAGCACTAACATCATCTAATCCAGAAAAATGCAATACTAAGACAATAATCCATAAAAATGCCGTAACAGTCGCGGATTTACCGTAACGGTGGAGGAGAACGAACGGTGAACGGCGGCGAAAGGGAACGGCGAACGGCGGCGCAAACGGACGGCGACGAAAGCTTCAACGGAGGGCGAAAATGGAAGATAGGGCAATGGAGAAATGAAGAAACGAAGAAGAAAACGAAAAAATGCGTGTTCTGTTTCGTTTACAATTCTGGAGGGTATATAAAAATTATTATACTAATACCTTTAGCAGCGCTTTTTAAAGGCCTTTAGCAGCGCTTTTAAAAGCGCTTTCATAGGGTGCATTAGCAATGACATATAGCAGCGCTTTATAAAAAAAACGCTCTCGTAGGGTCCCCTTTTAGCAGCGCTTTTAAAAAGCGCTTTCTAAGGGTCCCCTTTTAGCAGCGCTTTTTAAAAAAACGCTGTCTTTGGTAGGTAATTTTTTTCTTTTTTTTACTGATTATTTAGCAGCGCTTTTTTTAAAAGCGTTGTCTTTGTATGTGCTGCTAAAAATCAATTCTGGCGTACATTCTGTAAGTATTTGTGAGAATCATAAAAGTACTAACACGATATTATAATTATAATGCTTCCTACTATTTTACAAGTCTTTATGTAAGGACTAAATCAAATAACTCATAAATACTTATCAAGAATGATAGAGAAAAGGAGACGAGCACATGAAGATCGAAGATATTTATAGTTATTATTGTAGACATTATTTTATTTTCTTGTTTCAAGGCAATTTTAGAATGATTTGTTAGTACTATGACATCTTAATTGTTTTAAATTTCATATATTACTTATTAATTGTTTGATGGTGGATGGCATGGATGACTGATATTTCTTTTTAAAGAATCACAAATCTTAGTAAAAAAAATAGTTTCTTCTTATTTTAAAACAAAATTGCATTTTATATATTTTTTTAATTTGCAATTAAATAAATTTGTACTTATTATTTATATTTAATTTTTAAAAAAAAATTAGGCGCATTTTGAATAGTATTTATACTTATTTAACATGTATTAATTCTTTATCCTTTATTTTAAGTGTACATGATACAGTTTAATTTAAAGAAAAAAAACAATGAAAATTTTGATTAAAAATTAAAAGATACTTTTTTTATATAGCATCAATTTTATTGTAAAATTTTGGCAAAGTTACATCAAAACTTCTTTTATATATATATATATATATATATATATATATATATATATATATATATATATATATATATATATATATATATATATATATATATATATATATATATATATATATATATATATATATATATATATATATATATATATATATATATATATATATATATATATATATATATATATATATATATATATATATATATATATATATATATATATATATATATATATATATATATATATATATATATATATATATATATATATATATTTATTTATTTATTTTAATATGTTGGCCATTTAATTTTTTATTTATTAACATGGTTCTTTAGAGTGATTTTTACATCCTTTTTCTCACATTTGAACATTTAAAATAAGTGATTGTTGTATTTTTGACCACATTTTATCATATTCATATTATTCAAAATAATTGCATCCATAGTTAACACATTCATTTTTGTTAGTGTACAAGAGGAAGAACATTAAAATTATGAAGATGAAAAAAAGAGAAGAGAAAAACATTATAACTAACTTTTTAAAAATGGTCACTCTAAAAATTTTTTACAACCAAACTCAGATTGAGTTTTATTACTAACACCCAAGTGAAATAAAACTTAAATGAAATTCAAATTACATCTAAATACAAAATGAAAATGCTAACTAAAAGTTGAATTTGAATTATACTTCAACAACTATGTTATAAAAGAATCAAAGTGCACATATTTGGTAATTTAAAAGGATCAAATTATAATTAAAAAAATTATAAAAAAAACTGATCGTTGTAAAAATAAAATAAAATACTTAAAAGACTTTTGATATAATAGTCTAAATTTTTGTTTTCAAATCAAATTTGAATCAAATATTTAGTATTACACTTTTATTTATTTATTTGGCATTACATGTAATTATATATTAAATTGATTAATCATGCGAGAAAAGAAAAAATAATATTTTGTTAATATATATGAAAGATGCTAACGGGTATTTCACAAATATTGTTTTAAAGAAAGATAAAACGGAGTGCCCATAGCAATACCCAATAAAAAAATACACACAAATGAAAAAGATAAAAAGGAAGAAAAAAAATAGTGGTTTTGTTTGCCCTGGGATATGAGGTAAGATGTGATGCGAACATACATACGACATTAAAAATGCATACCTAAGAAGAGACCAAATAAACATGTTGACTTTCCAATCACGTGTGAACGACCCAAGACTTGAACAAACAGAGCACAAGTCAATACACAACAAATACTTCAATAGAAGCAAATCAATTTTTTTTCTTCTTAATTTATTAGTAATTGGTAAGAGTAGTATAATTACAAACAATGTCATCAAATTTAACAATGTCACTTAAACTCAAATATAGTAAATTAGAACAATTGTTAATTAATGTTTAACTCGTGTAAGAAAAAAACTAGATCATAAAGCATCAGCGAGTTGTTGCTGCAAGAACCATATGTTTTCTTCTGTCCACAACTCTGAACCACCAAAACCATTGTCATGTTCAAATTCTTGGATTTTTCCGTCTAAGCAATTCCACTCCTGCAACGTGGATTCCAATTCCATACTATCCATTACATTGTAAGATAGGTTTGATTCTGCAAAAACATCAACCCCTGACGAGTACGATGAACTATTAGACATCAACATGGGAGGAGGATTTGCATTTGTCCCACAAGTTTCACTGTGCGCTTTAGTTTTGTTACAATTGGTGACGTGTAGTTGATCATAGAAATTAGTATCTGCAGTTGCACGAGTCGACTGAATCCTCTCGATGAGACGTGGAATCCATTCAAAACGCAATGTGTCCTGGAACAGCTTGCTGTTTACATCACATTTTAGTTGCTTAGCTTGTTTCACCACTCTTGTCCTCCAATAGTTCTTTATCTCATTGTCCGTTCTTCCCGGCAATTGTTCCGCTATTTTAGACCATCTACATTAAACAACACAAATCATGTTAGTTAGTTTTAACAACTCTATTATTTCACATTACTAAGTTGCAGACTGCAATTTAAAATTATACTATCTTGCGCATGTATACGTACCGGTTACCCCAACGAGAATGGAGATCAAGAATCAAGAGTTGTTCATGGAGAGTGATATTCCCACGTCGAACATTCGGACGCAAGTAGTTCAACCATCTTAATCTGCAGCTTTTTCCTGTTCTTTTTAGACCTGAGCAGCGAGCGACGGAGTTCCAGTGACCTTCGCCGTGGACAGCTACATAGTTCATCAGAACAGCATCCTCCTCCTCTATCCATGGACCTTTCTTTATTACCATAATATCTTCTTCACTTACATTTGTTTCTAATGAACCACAATCCGATAAACTCCTCGTTACATGAAAACTGGTTTGGTAGTTGGTATCCATGTTGATGAACTTGTTGATATGTATTTGACTTTGGATTATGTTAAGGATATGTAAGAGAATGTGATTATATAGAGAGTGTTGAGTTGAAGTTGACGCTGTATTTAGGAGGAATTGCACTTTAAGAACTAAGAATTTGTCAAAAGTGAAAGATAATGTGAGGGGCTGCGAGCTGAATAATTGTACGCACAATTGTCAAATAATTGTTTAATAAAAGAGGACAATATTTTACTATTGCTAGTTAAGTAGTATTGGTGTTTTTCTTTTTTTTAAATTTATTTGACCTTGCAATTTTGTGTTGACACTTTGACTTATGACACACATGTTCAACTTAATTTACCAAAATAATAGTAATTTAACGTCAACTAGTCATAACTAAGAACGCTTTAACAGTGTTTGGTCGTTTCCAATTCTAGAATCCAAATGGTTCTTGTATTTGGCTGTGTTTAAGGTCAAACTTCTTTCCTAGTTGCAATTAATTATTTGGCTGTGTTTCCTGTATGGAATATACTTGTTTCTTAGTATTTCTTAAACTATTGTACCGCAAATAATTAAGTTAGCTACTCTAAATATTTGTTAGTTTTGCGTTTCAAGTGTAGAAGTGTTAAAGTTTCGTATCAATTAAGAATGATTAAGTATTACTTTTGCATTTTTATTTATAATATATTTGAATGGTTTTTGTATTATTAGAGGGTATATTTTTATGTCGATTATCTTCCGTATAAGTAATAATTGTATATCATATTCGAATGATCAAATATTATTTTTGGATTTTTTTTGGAGAATTATTTGAAGTTCTCTTGTTTGAGAAATCAATTTGAGTGGTCAAATGATCATTCTTTAATTCTCTTTTGGAGAATTATTTGAATTTATCATCGGTTGAGAAATTATTCTGATTGGTCTTTATACTAGATACTACGAGTGTTATTTGTATCATATTCGAATGGTATCTGTATCATTAAAGGATGTATTTCTAGATCGATTATCTACCGTGCAAGAAGTAATTGTATAGTATATAACTAGGTTGTTTTATCCTTGAGGTGTCGTGGTTAAGTGACTGCTTTGCATAATTTTGGATAGTGTCACGAAATGTCTTAAAGAGAGCAATTTAGTCTGTGACTCGACCTAATAGCTTCTTCAGTGGCAATTTTTCAAAACCGTAAAACAACAATTTTAAGACATTTCGAACTACCATGACTACCGAAGAAATTATTAGTACTTCTGCAGCCATTGTCTCTAACAATTCGTTCAAGTTTGAGGGAAGTCATTTCTAACGTTGGCAACAAAACATGCACTTTTTCTTGACCCTGAAAAAAGTTGTCAATGTTCTGGTTGAGGACATTCATGTTGCTCTTTCAGGATCAATCGAACAAAATAACAGTAAGAAATCTGTGAATTTAGATGGAACAATTAATAGTGTTGAAGTTGAATCTGGTACACATATTAAAGAGAATGATTTACAGCTTAGGAAAGAAACCACCTTATGGAAAAAGAATGATTACCTCTGCAAGATTATATTTTGAATGGACTTGCAGATGATGTATATGATTATTATAGTATTACAATACTACAAAACAAGTTTTGGAGGATCTAAAAAAGAAGTATGAAACCGAAGAAGTTGGAGCAAAGAAGTATGTCATTACGGCTACCTATGGTATCATATGGTATAAATGAAAGGTCTGTTGAGATTCAATGTTACAAACTTGAAAAGATTGTGTTATACCCCAAAATTTGACCCTATATTTCATCATCATTCTAGGAGCGTCATACATTGCATTGCTAACCCTAATATTGTACAATTCTTCTTTGTTTGGTTTCATTTAAAAATTATGGTTTTGAATCAAGAGGATCTTTATTTGATCAGTCAATATCTTGGATTGATCATTAACATAACAAGTGTACATACACTCAAGAGGTCTCTCTCCATCAAGAATCAAGTGCAAATTAGTCTTGTTATAAGTTCATTGAAGCTCGACTTTATTTGGCCATAAATTAGGGTTTTTATCTGACAAAGTCAACTATGCCTTTGACTTTTGATCAAGGAATGATCCCAAGCCCTAGGGCATGATTCAAGATGCTCAAATACATCCTTGGAATCCCTCCATGATGTTCACAGACTCAAGAGTTCAAGATCATTGAAGATCACACAGTCAAATTCATCTGATACACAAGTTTTTAACTGTAAAGTCAACCCTTTGACTTTCAAGGTTTTTGGTCAAAATTGAACCCCTCTAACTAGATTTCATGAAAACATGTTTAATCATGAAAAATCAAGAATTTGGAAGTTTTTTTGCCAAAGGGGCAAAGTGGGAGAAGTTGAATGTTTTCTAAGTATGGGAGAAAAAACCCTAATTTGGTGCCAACTTTGAAGGGACATAACTTTCAATCTAGACCACCACTTTTTGTGTTTCAAAGATTAAATTGAAGTTTTTGCAACATACTAAAACTTTTTTAATGAGGGTCAATCTCCAAAAAGTTCATAGATTTTAAGTTATAAGGCCATCAAGTTTGTGAAAAACTTTCAAATTTTAGAAAATTTTCAAGACAGTTTTTGTTCTCAAAAAGTACCAAACTTTGGAGCTAGTTTTCACTATGATCCATTAAGAATCAAGAAATTCATAAAACATGATTGTTGTAGAGCATGTTTGAGGCTTTTCAAAAAGTATAAGAACTAATCCATAGCATTTTTGAGCTAGGAGTTTCAAAGAAGCAAAGTTGGCCTCAAATTTTGATTTTCATGTCATGTTCTTGGCAAACCATGAGTGCAAATCCTAGCCAAAGTCATGAAATATGGTTTTGCAGCCAATGTAACTTGTAAATATTCCTCTAATCAGATAATTACACAATTCCTTGGTGCATTACACATTGATTTGAAACATTATCCAAGTGATCACACCATTTTTGGAATGTTTTGCCAAAAAGATTGCAATGTTATTCTCATAAAGCACCTTTAATCACAATGTCAACCCTCCTTGTGATCCACATTGTTTTCCTGCACAAAACCTTTTCTTTGCATAGAAGCAAGATGTATGAACTTTCCAATAACTCTAAAAAGCATGGTACTTTGCATTGGAACTTCAAAAATCCATGAAACTACATTTTGAATCCCAACCAAACCAAAAACTCTTCAAGTTGCAATTCTGCAACACATTGATCCCTCAAGTTTCCCTATAAATAGAGGCACATTTCATGCTTCTAAGACACAACAAAAAACCAGAGAAAACATCCCTCTAACCTCCCATTGTAGCATCTTGCAAACCAACTTCCATGTTGTGCCAAGAATCATCAACTTGCACAAGCATACCATCTGCCTTCTCCAAACACCAAACCACCAAAATGCCTGTTCAAACACATCACAAATCATCCCTCGAAGGTGTCCAAAACTTCATTTCCATTAGAAACCATCAAGATTAAAAAGTCAACTCTCAAAACCTCAAACTGTTGACTTTCTGTATTTTGAAACCTGAAACCCTATCCAGACCATTTCTAAAGCATCTAACCCTTCCAAAACACTCCATAAATCACCCCTAAGTTGTTCCAAACCTCACTTTGCATCTATAACTTTATTTACTTGAAGTTCCATTTTGACATTTTTCACACTTTTGCAAGAAGAGAGGTACAACTTGTTCCAAGTGATTCCTTTTGTTCCCAGCATTCAGAAAGATCCTTGGAGGTGTATTGAAGTTGTCCGAATCATCAAAATACTTATGTAGCAACTCTTTTAAAGATTTCAAGTTTTCTCCAAGAGGTAAGTTTCCTCATAACTTGAACCTTTCAAACCATGACATATTTTGATGTACAATGAGTATAAACTTGTTTGTTATGTTGTATATGATGTTTTTGACCCATTGATTGTTGCTTATCATGACTGAATAAGATTGTGCCATAGAAATTGAAAATATGAGCTTATTAAGGTTTTGCTATCATGTTTTTAATTTAGAAGCAATCTAGCAAAGAATATTGAACCCCCAAATTGTTAAATATGTAATTCATTATTTTAGGAAGATTAGATTTGATTTAGAAAAATCAGATTTGATTTAGAAAGATTAGATTAGATATTTTTGGAATTTTATAGTTTGGATTTTAGCTTGAGATGCAAGTTAACCTAAATCTATAAATAGGGGAGGAACGTTTATCATTTTAATCATATCAAGTTTTATAGTCATGGTTTTGCAGTTTGAAAGTGATAATAAAATTTCACAGTTGTGGGCAGAGAGTTACTATGCAGTTCATACTCATCTTCTTTAAACGTGTTCTTGTTTTTGTTCATTGTCATTACTTAATCTAGCGGTAAAATTATGAGTATAAGCTATTGATTAACTTAACTCAAAATGCAAGAGTCGTCACCGCACTTTTATTTTATCCAAAAGAAAAGAAAAAGAGCGAACAAAACCTAAGAGTTTCTAAAACAAGAACAAAAACAGAGATCCGAGTAAGGGGGTTGGTTACGTAATGGAAAGGTGTTAGCACCCAAAATGTCTATAGTACTCTATAGGAGCCCTTTGAAAAATCTATGATTTTTGGTTTGAAAATGTTTGTTTGAAAAGAGATTGGGGAGATGAGAAGAGAATTATTTTTTAAGATTTTTGTGTTTGGAGAGACTTACCGTCTCATGCCTACGTACCCACAAGGTGCAATATAGGATCAAAACCTCGTAGTTCGTGGTACAAATAACAAAAATTTGTTGGTTATCATTGATTTTTAAAATGTAAAGATAAGTCGCCATTTTAAGGAGAAAACTACGACTAGTCGCCCACAAGTATAAGATGACATTTGCATCACCTAAAGATGGATGATTTTGCTTGGATTAAAATCAACAAGTCTATCACTCAACAAGTCTATCACTCAACATCTAAGTTCAAATGTAAACATCTTAAATACTATAGGGAATAGGAGAATTATATCTCAACTATGGAAATGACTCATGTCTAAACTTTATGAAAAGTAATGAAAGGTGCACAAAGGCATAAAAAGTTTGAATGAGGTGAAGTGTTTTTTATATC